TTGGGTTGTCTTTCTTTCAGATGTTGTGTTACTTGACTTGGTGGCTATCACCTTGAAGCACTGCTTTTTGTTTCAAATGCCAGACGAGCCTTTATGTTCTTTCTGATCAGGAGTGGTTTGCATCTTGTAACTCTCTCATTGATGTCATTTCTGCCCAGTGTCTTCCTTATTGTGGAATCATGTACACTGACCTTAACTGAGGCCAGTGAGGCCTGCAGTTCTGTTGATGTTTGTCTGGGTTCTTTTGTGGCCTCCTGGATGAAATCTTGATGCGCTCTTCTCTTGGAGAAGTTTTGGTTTTCCGGCCACTCCTCAGAAAGTTCACCACTGTTCTATGTATTCTCCGTTTGTGGATAATGTCTCTCACTGTGGTTCTCTGGAGTCCCAGAACCTTAGCAATGGCTTTGTTGCCCTTTCCAGACTGATAAATGTCAATGACTTTGTTTAACATCTGTTTTTGAAACTCTGTAGAACCTGGTGTCATGTGCTGCTTTTTGAGACCCTTTGGTTACTTCACAATGCCAGACAGGTTCTATTTAAGTGATGTTTAGATTCAGTAAGCCTGATGGTAATCATACGTGGGTGTGGCTGGTGGAACTGAACCCAACAGAAATATATATATATGGTAGACTGATAGCTAAGGAGGCTTTTACTTTTTTCAAGTAGGGCAAGATGGAGCTGGACAGCATTTTCCCCTCAATAAATAAAGTTATCTTTTAAAAAGTTTGCTTTTTGTTTTCAGTATCAGAATCAGAAATACTTTATTAGTCCCCTAGGGGAAATTGCTTTCTGATACAGATGCTACCAATCAAAAGTGTTAAAAGAAATAGAAAAAGTAAAAATATATAATAAAAATATAAACATAAGTATTAATATGAAACAAAATCTATATAAACACAAAATAAATAAACATTCCACTCTTGTATATGTAGATACAGTGTAATTATAATACTACTATTTGCATTATTGCACATAGAATGTTTTCTGCACATTATTAAAAAGTCCAAGGTCCCACACAAGGTATCCTGAGGAATCGTTGTCTTACACTAAAATTAGTTTGATGAGCTGAAAAAGTTAAGTGTCACAAATATGCAACAATAGAAGATGTTTGTATCGGGGGAAACACTTTTTCACAGCACTGTATTTAGTGGTGAAGGAAACAAACGTTCTCATACGCATACAAGCCAAGAGGCAGATTCAAGTCACATGACCTCACCTAGACTATGTATGACTTGGAATGGCATGATAGCCTCTCCAGCCATAGATTAGAAAATATATTTAACATAACTGTTGTTTGTGTTCTTTGCATTGTAAAGTTACACTTGTTTAACTGTGTTTAGAATTTAAAATGGTATAGTGACTTGCTAGAACTCAGGCTTGACTTATAACTTGTTCTTGACTAATGACCTCAGAGCCAAGACTTGACTAGATTTTTGACATTTGTGACTTTCAAAACATTAACTTTGTCCCACCTGTACACACAGACACACACAATATACGTATACTTTATGTTCTTTATTATTGTATAACTATTGTTTAACTTTACTAAATAGCTACTTTATTTATAATTCTTTTGTTCCATTTTTTTCATTATTTAATGAGTATGGTTTTTAAATCTCCTGAAGCTGAACATTAACTGGTGTTTTCTCCTCATTCTGCCCTGTTTGAAGGTGCAAGTCTGACTGAGATGGCTGCGTCGCCGTGCTGCCACAGGACGGTCCTATTGGCTGTGGCCTTCTGTTACCTGCCTTACATCACTTCCTCTCTCAACCTGGAGGATCCCAATGTGTGCAGCCACTGGGAGAGGTCAGTCACAATGCTTACAGTCATTTCTTCAAAGGCCTTTGACCTCAGGGGTCTGTGTTCCCATGTTTCCACTAATTCCACTAATTCTTCAAACCTGCAAAGAGCCAATCAGATTATATGAAACAACTGTAAAGGATTAAAGTCCCATAAACATTTATAACTTGTAATACACAATTCATAACAAATGCTGCGTGATTTGTCTCTGTAAATCTGTATTTGTAACTTGTATATCACTTTTTGTACATTACTTTTTCAGTCAAAATACATTTGTGAATCTTACTTATTTGTATTGAGCACATGACCCACAAATCTGTTAATCTGTATTTGTATCTGTATCTGAATTATTATTTTTTGTTAACCCACCAACAAAACTAGCAGCTAAGCAACTCGGCCAACTTGCCAAATAGATAGATAGATAGATAGATAGATAGATAGATAGATAGATAGATAGATAGATAGATAGATAGATAGATAGATAGATAGATAGATAGACCATTTTTGTGGATTGTAGTTCATGACGAATAAATTAAAGACATAAATACAAACACAGACTTGCAAATGTTCTGCATTTATAATTTTATAATTTTATAAAATCACTTCCGTACTAAACTAAAGACTGCATTTCAGTATGAATCTAATACCCGTCTGTTAGGTTGTATTCAAAGCTACAGTATCCACACACAACAGAAATAGTATTTTTTTCATTTGAAGGGAGCTAGACACTTGACGAATGCAGGAGACTACACAACCAACAACAAACAACACAAGGATGATTAGCAAATACACCAAGCTCAGCTGTTAGTGAAACATAAAGTGCTACATTGGTCAATTAATACAAGCAAATTTCTTGTTGATTACTTTACAGTGTGAATTTTGTATTGTTACGTTTTCACTTGTGACAGCAGTGTTTGTCATCTGATAATCCTTTAACTGCATTACCTGTGACAATCATAGATCACTGTCTTTTGGGTATGTCACAAAAAAACACTCTTTGCCAGCACAACCCCCTGCACTGTGTTCATGCTGTGTTAAAGAACCCATGTTATGTTTCTCAGTTCCTCATTACCTTCAGTATGTAGCTGTTTTGTTAAACATGTGAAAGTTCTGCAAACTTACAAAGTACACTGCTGCTTACCTGCCTGAAACAGCTCATCTGAAGTCCAGGCTTTTCCTCTGTTACTTGTCTATATCCCTATGTAATACATTTGAATGATACCTGGCAGCCCTGTTTCATAAAGTCGGTTTTGTGAAAACTCACAAATCAAGGTCAACTTTTCTTTGAATCAGGTATTCTAGTAGGATACTCTGTGAAGCTGCTTGCGGAGAGGTTAACTTCAATTAAGCCTGAGTGTCTCCTTTAGCTAAAGCCTGCAGACTGAAGAAACTGTCATCTATGGTGTGTTCTCGTCTCAATGAGTTAGTTGATACTGAAGCATAAGCACTCTGTCTGATCCTTGAGTGTGATCAGCCCTGGCTTGGATGTTTGATCATTCCCTGGTGTTTATCTGTTTAAGCATTACCATTTTCTGAGCACTATTCTCAGCCATATCAAATCCTTCATATAAACACATCGTAAACATACTTGCAGCCTGGAACCAACTCTTTGTGTTACACTTAGTTTTTTGCCAACTGGAGTTTTTCTATA